TGTAAAAACACCCCATCCTTCCCAATTCAGCCAAAAGGGGTCTGGAAGCTGTTCCCCTCATGGGGGAATGGGACCCAGCAGGGGAGGTCTTGGAAAGAGCTCTCCCAAGAGCATTTAGGGCCCTCAGCAAAGCTAGCCGCAAAAGGCCTCACCGAAGCTGCAATGGAGCTTGTATGCTCTCTAAGGAAGCTAAAAAAGCTAAAAAACCGAAGAAAGCAAAAACAGGGAACAAAAAGTGTAGAAGATCTAGGAGCTATGAGTCTACTGACTACTCATCCTTCACAGAGAATGGAGAATTGTCAGGCTCTGACGCCAGTCAGGATCGGGGAAAGATTCAGTAAAGGTTGATGCTGACTTGGCATCCCTGGCTAAAGGTATGTTTATCCCCTCAGAAGGGGAGTTCTATTCTAAGGATTCCCACAGATTAGAAAAATGAAGGCCAGAGTTTATAACAACTACTTTAAAGACTTTGAGGCCTCCTCGGCTTCTTTCAGGGTATCCCTAGCAGCTGCTTGATTTGCAAGGGCATCTCTCTACTGTCTGGAGGATCTCAGAGCCCTCAAGGATAGATATCACCCTGACTTCAGCTCTGTTTTAACTAAAGTTTCCCCGACAACCGCATTCATTGCTGACGCATCAATGGAGGCAAAGAGATTCCCAGCCAAAGCCATGGCCTCAAACTCGGTGACCAGGTTCCATCTATGGCTCTGTCACTGGAAGGTGGATAGCTATGCAAAGCAGGTGCAGTGCTCTGCCAAATTCATGGGAGCCCTGACTTTTTGAGAGAAGCTAGACAAGGTAGTGGCGGCAGTGCTGCAAGATTTAAAGAGTACCTTCCATGCCTTTAAAAGAAAGGACAGACTGGCCTTCATCCTCTCATAAATAGCAGCGAAGAGACAGCAGGTTCTCCAGAGGAAAGCTGTGGAACTGTGGCTCAGGAGGAAAGACCTGAGGGAATCCTGTCACTCCCAAAGCCTCTTTATGACAAAGACCACGTAGGTCTCTGCCTGAAGCTGAAGACTGGAGGCAGGGTTTCCAATATCCTGGAGGTATGGGTTGCTTCAATCATGGACCAGTAGGTCATGTAGATAGTGAGTCAGGGATACTCCCAAGTCACGGGCTGTACTCCATCTATTTTTCATCCCGTCTGCCATATCTCCCTGTAAAGAATGGTCTAATCCAGAATGAGATTTCTGTCCTGGATATGGGAGAAAGAGAGTGTTCCCTCTGAAGAAAGATTCTCAAGATTTTTTTTATAATTCAGAAGCATACAGAGGGAATCTGAGCCATTCTATAGCTCAAAGGGCTCAACAGGTTGATGAAGAAACCAGTGTTTCAGATGGAGACCCTAGTCTGTTTGGTGTCTCAGAGCGGCTTGCTTGGCCTGCCAGGCTTTCCTGCCTCATCTGAGGGGCAGGATGGTTCAGATCCTGATGGACAACACCAACGCCATGTTCTATATCAACAAGCAATTTGACCTCTTTTTCCCAAGTGAGACTTGTACTGAGAGCCCTGACAGACCATCCCTTCAAACCACTTACATCAGTGTCATCATTTTATTTGTCCATAAAAACTTATCTTCTGAAAGTCAACATATCTGCCAAGTGAGTGTCAGAGCTGGCGGTGCTCTCTATGCAATAACCTTACTGCATGTGTCATGAGGACTAAGTGATGCTCAGAACTCCGGAATCGTTTATTCTGAAGGTGAACTCTTCTTTCCAAGCTTCCCAAGGGGTGCTTCTACATTCATTCTGTCCAGGGACACAGCATCCCACCTAGGAGAGGTGGCAGTCCTTAGATATCAGAAGGGCTCTGAAAATTTACCTCAAATGTAAAGAGTCCACAAGGAGATCCAGGTACCCTATTAAAAGCAACAGAGGGTCCTGTGGCACCTTTGAGACTAACAAAAGTATTGGGAGCATAAGCTTTCGTGGGTAAGGTGCCACAGGACCCTCTGTTGCTTTTTACAGATTCAGACTAACACGGCTACCCCTCTGATACCAGGTACCCTATTTGTATCCTTCCATCTGAAATGCCAAAGACTCGGAGCCTCCAAGTCCTCTTTTGCTAGGTGAAATAGACTGTGTTGCGGAAGCATACAAGGCATCAGAGATTCTGGTTCCATAAGGGGTCAGGCACACTCCACATGATCGCTGGCGACCTCATGGGCAGAAAGAGCTACTGCATCCACAGGTGGTCACCTGGTCGAATGCTATCACATTTATGAAGCGTTACAAGGTAGATTTCCTATCCTCTGCAGAGGCATACTTTTGGCAGGAAGGTTCTGCACAGTGTGGCCTGGAAATGATTTTGCTCATTGAACAAATACTATAGATGGAGAGGGATACCATTTTCTTATTTCTGACCTTTTTTGTAATCCTCCCTACATCTGTTTGCTGCTCACTACTTCCCAGACTTCAAGAATTGTGGGAGACACTGAGAAAGAAATTTTCCATTCTGCAGCTGGTAAATTCCTTTCTGCTAGCATTGTCTCCCACAGTTCTACCTACTCTGGCTGGCTTATGAGTCAAGTCAAATATTAAATGGAATAATTATCGGGAAATTGTTATCTCTGGAATATTTGTTATTAATGATATTATGCAGGTGTTACAGCTTGGGAATAATTCTATAAAGCAGCTGCAGGGGGACATGGCCACATGGCTCCAATACTGATTCGCCTCCATGAGCTGCATAGAGAGGAGAGTAGCTAAGATGTTGAGAATTGTGGGAGACACTGCTAGCGGAAAGGAAATGATCTGTAAAAAAATTTGTTTCCATTTTACGTATAACATCTTGAAAAATTCCTTCATTAGGGCTGAAATTTTTTCTAATTGGTCTGCCTAAAACTGAGTTTGTTGATCAGGATATAGTGGCGAATGAAAAACAGACACAGGGATAGATATCTTTATTAACTTAACGGTGAGGAGGGGCACTGTCCATGCACCCTCTCTCTCATACCAAGCATTTGACTGGATCCAGAGTGGAGTTACAGGGCTCTCACCATGTAACCAATAACTTGTGGTAGATCCTCTTCTGCCTAACCCCTAGGACTCAGCTCACTTCTAAATCCTGTTGCCACCCTCCCTCCCCCATACCTCCCATGCCGGGATAGAGAGTATCAAAAGGGATTTCAGTTTGAGAAGACTTCGTGTCTCCCCATCTCCTTGTGGCAAAAGGTCCATCAGAAATATCCCATTCTCATTTACTTCTTTCATTTTAGCCTTTATCCATATTGGACACCGCCTGCACGTTTTGATGAACTAAACACTTCTGTATTACTTCCTAATATTTAAATTTTTATTCTTACTCCTTTTAACCTAAACTGTACCTCCACAATTCTGTGAGGGGGACAAAAAACTTTCTAGATTTTGTCAATTTATCCTCTTGGGGGAATTTTTTTTCTTGATCCTAAAAACAGGTAATCATTTGGACACACAGCATCCTGGAAACACAACTAGATATATACCTCAAAGGAAGGGAGGGTGGGGCAGCAATCACGGCAAGATGGCTCCTGGTTGCCTGGGAAGGCTTTAAATGGGGGGAGGGCATTCATGAGAGCCAATTAGCCCCCTTAATTGCTTCCAGCTGGCCAATGGGAGGCAGCGACGCCTGTATCCCAAGCACACTCCCACATGCAGTTTGAGGCGCAAGGAGTGGCAAAGCTACAGTCCGGATGTGAGCTCTCCCCCTTCCTGGTTCAACCAGGGCCGCTCATCCTCCACACCCACTATGATATAAGAGGAGCATTTTTTTCTTTTTATGTAGAGGAAAAATTTTTCACCTATTTCAGTGGATAAAGAATACTTTTTAGACTGTGTTCAAACGCTGGTATATTTGGATGCTTGAAACTTGGCATGCAAACACTCCTTAATGAGGAGTAGAGTATATGGTACATTTTTGGGGGAGGGGGGAACATATGGGTTGACTTAAGAGAGGAAAATTGTATATCGAATTTTCACAATACAACAGTCTAAAGCAGTCTAAAGCAGTGGTTTTCAAACTTTTTTTTCTGGCGACCCAGTTGAAGAAAATTGTTGATGCCCATGACCCAACGGGCAGAGGGTTGGGGTGTGGGGGTGAGGGGTTTCGGGTGCAGGAAGGGGCTCTGGGTTTGGGGAGGGGCTCAGGGCTGGGGCAGGGGATTGGGGTGCGGGGTTGGGGCACCGGCTTACCTCGCGCAGCTCCCAGTCAACGATGCAACGGAGGTGCTAAGGCAGGCTTCCTGCCTGTCCTGGCACTGTGGACCGTGCTGTGCCCTGGAAGTGGCCAGTAGTAGGTCCAGCTCCTAGGCGGAGGCACGCAAGCAGCTCGCGTGTCTCTCACCCACAGGCACCACCACTCCAGCTCCCATTGGTTGGAAACTGGCCAATGGGAGTTCAGAGCTGGTGCTTGGGCTGGGGGCAGCGCGCGGAGTCCTTTGGTCCCTCCGTCTAAGAGCTGGACTTGCTGCTGGCCGCCTCCGGGGCGCAGTGCAGTGTCGGAACAGGGTAGGTACTAGCCTGCCTTAGCCAGGCAGCACTGCCAATGGGACTTTTAACAGCCCAGTTGGTGGTGCTGACCAGAGCCACCACAACCCAGTGCCTTACATTCCGTGACCCATTACTGGGTCGGGACCCACAGTTTGAAAACCATTGGTCTAAAGGGGTGCAATTTGAAACAGACCACAATTGCATACTTTCTGACCTGTACATCTATGTTTTAAACACAGATTGAGGCACTGGCTGTTCATGCTCACCCTTCTGTCCCCTGGCTTTCTCCTCTAGCCACCTTATCTATCCAAAAATAGTTTGTTTGAAATAATTGTAAAAACTGAATGCATTAATATTGATCACTTAACTTTTGCATTTCCTGACTTATTTTAAGGTTCCTACAGCAATATTAATTTTATCTCTATTGTCAAATGGAGTTTTCTGTTGCTTTCTTACTAATGTTACTGGATTGGGAACTAAGGGTTAAGAATTAATTTACATTTATTACACATCTGTGTATTTTTGTTTTAGTGTATCATCTTTACGATTGGCCTACAAGGATCTTGAAATTCAAATGAAAGAAGAAAAGTTAAATATAGCTGGTAAAAAGAAAACTGAAGTAGACAGACTTGGCATGGGATTTGGTAGCAACAGAAGGTATGTGAAATTCTGTAAACTGTATTAAAATGCTTTTATATAGCCCTATAAATTTACCCTTGACTTTATGCATGTTTTGATGAGGGAAATATAATTAATATCACAGGGATCAGAAAGGAAATAGAAAATGCATAATTGACCAGGAGCTATTTTTAAATCTATTGCCAAAGAATCTGGTATTTGCCATTCTTGGAAGCAGGATACTGGACTTTATGGCCTGCTGGTATGGTAAATCCTATATTAGGTACAGTGCATCTCACATTAAACAAAACAGTCAGCTAACTGAAGTTTGACTTTATGTTCCCAAAGGTTATTGTATCGTGCCTCTCCACCAAATTTCTTCTCAAGTTAGCTGACTATCAGGGAGCTAGCAGGTATGTTTTTACTGAGCTCCAAGTCCTGTAAGCTTAGAACAAAGCTCCTGTTTAGAGCTCCAAGTCATTAAAAAAGCAGACTTAGCAAGCTTTAAAATCAGAGAAGATGGTCAGCATGTTCTCAAGCTTGTTTGACAGTGTTAGAAAATATACAGTGCGGACTTCAAAGCTTCTCCCTCTGTCCCCAAACCTTAATTATTCATATCTTTTGGATGTCATATATTGGTAAGTTTTCTGATTTGTACACATTTTAAAATATTTTACAATTCAAAAGTATGTTTTTTGGATGTTAGAATCATAGAATATCAGGGTTGGAAGGGACCTCAGGAGGTCATCTAGTCCAACCAACCCCTGCTCAAAGCAGCACTAATCCCCAGACAGATTTTTGCTGCAGATCCCTAAATGGCCCCCTCAAGGATTGAGCTCACAACCCTGGGTTTAGCAGGCCAGTGCTCAAACCACTGAGCTATCCCTTCCTCCCCCCTGAGATCTTCGGAAAATCAGGGTTGCAATTTGCTTGAGTTCAGAGTTGTACTTAGTGGTCTCTTTACAAGTTAATGATTTATTGATTTATTTATTGGTACAGTGGCATTTCCCATTCAGTAATCTCAGACATGCAAATGATAGAACAAGAAACACCCACAACTGCAAAACCAAGAAAAAAATACAACGATGAAGATGATTCTTATTTTTCTTCCTCTAGTTCAAGGTAATGTATTAAAATTTTTGTTTTGATGTGGTAAAAATATTGATATAAAATACAAGACAAGGCAGCATTGCACACAACTCTGCATCTGTTATGCTTTAGAGTGAACTCATTTGAATGGAAAATTTGCAAAATAGTTGATTTTAATATCTCAGTGACAAACATTTATCAATAGTACCGGCTTTTATTTTTGAACCTTTTTACTATTTTAATAAGTGAAGAGTTTTGGGTGGGAAGGTGGGAACCATTTAGATTTCTTTCTGCTGATTGGTGCAGCGTTTTTTTGTTTTTTTTTTCTCTTCCCCCTTCATCTATTTTAACTTGGGCTTCCCGATGGGTCTATTTTATATGTTGCATTATTTCTTAATTTGTGTGTGTTTATTTGCAAAGCCAGTTGATGTATGTAGGGGATAGGAAAATCTGATTTGTTACCATTTTCGTCCAGTGGGTTCTGCATCACGTTAGCTTATTCTCTTTCTTCACTTATTGGTCCTCTTAGCATGTGTAACCTAACTCTCAAACCTAACAATAGGCTTCCTATTAAAGTCTGACACTAGAATGCTGAGATTGATTGAAATAAATCTAATTATACATCTCCGTTGTCAAACATGGAAAACTTGCAAATATTTCAGATGTATCGCTTTCATATATTGGTAAGCTTTCTGATTTGTACACATTTTAAAATATTTTACCATTCAGGGGTATGTTAAAAAACAAAAACAAAGGAAAAATGTTACATTTTCGTTCAAAGCGCATATTTATGCATGATAGATATTGCTATCCCTGGAGGAAAAAAGAGCAAGTCCTAAAGGCCTTAATTGCTATGAAACAGTTGTCCATAGATTGAGGTAGGAGCAGATGGTGCTTTTATAAATCTTGAGTATTGGGTTGCTGCCAAAGGAAACAGGAAAAAATAGGCTTTGAAAAATTTTACCTAGTTACCTGCAGAATGTCCAATTAAAACACAAAGACTTTAACGTCACTACTTTGTAATGTAATCACTAGTGGTAGAAATGCAGGCATGGTACCAAATACACGGGCAACAATGCTGTAAAATAAAACATGACCCATTTGAATGCTTCTATTTGTCCCATGAAAAGAGCTCTTATTGCTCTCAAATTATTCATTAGTTCCCTGGCAGTCAAATTATGAATTATGGAAGAGGTTTTTACATCTTTGTTCAGTAATTAGAAGATAAATCATGACCTAGCTGTTTATTTTTGTATTAGTCATGGTAATAGCAGAATTTAGTTGAAACTGGTGTACAAACTCTCCACTTCAAAGAGAATATAGCCAGTCAGTTAGACTTTGCGGTTTCTACCACAGTAAATCTCCTTCATTTTTAGCCATAGCTATGAAAGAGAGGAAGGTTATTTTAATGTTGTCTTAATATACATCAGAAGACAAAATAATTTAGCTGGAGGTCAGACCAACAATACATATCTGTAATATAAGGGTAAAATCCTTTCAAAAATTGTAGTGTCTTCAAAAAAGAAACAAATCTAAACAGTTGAAAGTCTAGAAATTTAAGTTAAGGTACCAAACAACATGGGAATTCCCTTAATCTTTTTTGTTATATTTATTAAATATTTGGCATTCATTGGGAGTTGAGGAGCAGAATACTTCACACAGCTGTGAAGCTCCACAGGGCAGGAGAACAAGGATGCAAGGAAATGGGACTTAGGAACTCTATGTCAACCTTGACTCCTCGCTCCCAAGCCAGTCTCTGAGTCAGCTTCTCTGTTCTCTCTAATTTTGTTGTTGCTGCCCCTCACTGCTTCACATTGTTCCTTGCGTCCTATCCTTACCAGGCCTCTAAAAGCTACAGAATTGGCTGATTGCCTCAGTAAGTAAGGAGGAATGATGGACTTGATGTGGCCTCTACTGTTGTCCACTACAGTTCTTGCAGTTATATGCCTCCCCCTATACTGAGGGAGCAGGATAGTAGGATGCATATAACTCAGAAGCTGATGTGGTAAATAAGAAGGGCTGCAAGATACTTTGATACTAAGCCTGTGGAGCTTGGAGCTCTGCTGTCACTCTGGACTGGTGGTGAATGAAAACATAAGAGTTTTGTAGGAGTCACATAGATTAGGTGAAGTGGGAGTCAAGCTACTTGTGCTGCTGCTGAGGATTGCTGCCTTCCTGCAATTTACTTCATATATGATACCACATTGTAAATCCTAAATTCTAGTCCAGCGTTTCTCAAATGCAGCCACCAGTGGATTTTTTTACATCCACGACAGCCTCCAAAGCATGGGCGGAGATTGGGGACGGGGCAAAGCAACGCCCCCTCCCTGCAGTGCCTACTGTTGCTCTGAATAGCTGTTACCAAGGGCAGTGAGATGTGCTGTTTGATGTTTGTGCTGGCGCTGAAGCAGGGATCAGCACCCTGTACCACGCAGCCTCCTTGGGGGTTCTGGGCAGCACCTCTGGAGACATGTGGGGCCGGTGTGCGTGGTGCCAGAGGTGACTCTTCTCAGTGGAGGCGGCTGCTTCCTTGGGCAGCTCCCCCATTCCCACCCCACTGGTACACAGAGAACTTGGGTCTCTGCAGGCCCACCTTCACCAGAGCGTGCTCTTGCTGAAGGGCTGCGGGAGGCAGGGGCAGAGAGATGGGTTTGTGAGAGTGACCACCAGCAAGAATTGGCTCCTTATAGTTCTGATCCATGTTTAGCGATGGTAATTTATACCAGCAGGGAATCTGCTCTCTGGTTTAGTTTTTAATAGTTCCCAAAACACCTACTGATATTCTAATCTCTGCCCTGCAAAATACCCATTATTTTAAGTTTTTTAGAATTGGGTGTCAGTGTGGATCCCACTGTAGATGTGTGTGCACACGAGAGAGGTCTGGGTTTTTTTGTTGTTGTGTTTTTTATTAATAGCAGCGTCTGTTGGGGCCATGCATGGGCCTCCATGTGTATCTTGTGCTCCTGTACAAGGGTATAAATGGTAGGGTGGTTGCAATCCTACCTCAGTTCCCTTTTACCTGGTGTGACAGCAAGATAGCACCTGATGAGTGTCTGACCTGCTAGTTCTTAGCTCAGGCTAAATTCCTGCACATCTTCAAGAAAACCTTCAGAACTACTTTTGGTCTTCTACATCGACTGCCATGAACTTTTCATCCATCTGAACTGAACTCTGCAGTCAAATCCTCAGTAGGCCACTCCCTGCAGACAGACTCCCTGTACAGGGCTTCTTAAACCTTCAGGCTTTAAGTCCTGTTCATCCTACATGAACATGTAAATCACAAGGTGTGAGACTAAAGCTCCATCGTTTGGAACAGTCCATACAGGTCTCATCAGACCCTGAGGAGACCAGCTTCAAAGTTCTGCTAGCAGATCAAGCCAGTTTCATCCAGTGCTCTGTCAAGCAGACAAGTGACCCCAAAGCCTACCACAGGGAAGACAGCGCTGAGTAAAGACCTGGCCCTGAGGGGGCCTGCTCTGAACACAGAGGCAGAGATTACAAGTAGAGCTCAGTGTCTTCCCAGAAGGACAGGCACTTTAAAGCCTCTGAAGATAAATCCACCAAGTCATGGATGGTTGTGAGGCTTGGGGAGAAGGAACAGCATATGGTGCAGCACAATCCTCCAGCTCTGATGATGCAACCTTCTACATCAATACTCACTGGAGAGGATCCTCCTAGATGAGAACTAAGACAGACATTGATGCAGAGACTTATACTGGTACAGATTTTGTTACCGAGAACACCATATACTTCAATGCCACCGATGGAGGAGGTCTACTCCACCTCATCATCTCCAGGGCGTGCATTCACCCTGTCCTCCAGTGGAGAGCCCTTTCTCCTGAGGTCAGTGGTTTCAATTTACTTTATAGGGTTCAGCATCCACCAGCTCATCAGGAATGGCATTAGCCTGTCCAGTACCTAGCAAGCTAGCCAGCCATATTCCTGTTGCATGCCACCGAGGCCCTATTGGGGGTACTTGGGCCCATCATTTCAGGCATCCAGAAATTGGTCTCCACCAGATTTGAGGAAGAGGTCATTCTCATCAGCGTCCCTGGCCAGACTACCTATGCCAGAATACCAGGGCAAACCAGATTCAAGGATGGAGCAGCACCAGCACTCTGTATCACTGCCAAAGGATCCTTTGTCTTCATCACATGACAAGGCAGTATTCTTAGCATTGGTACCATCACCGGATGACTTTAAAGCATTCCAAGAGCTCTTTGTGAGGATTGCTGAAATTCTAGAAGTTGAGATGTCTGTCATATTTGAGAAATCCCAGAAGCTATTTGACATATTGTCAGCTTCTTGTCCAGCCAGAATTGCTTTCCCTATAATGAAGGACCTGGCCAAGGTCACGTGGCAGACACTGTTCAAGATAAAGCCCACTGGGAAACAAGTTAAGAAGAGGTACCAGGTACCTCCCACAGAGTTTGAGTTTTTCTGTACTCTTCCCAGTCTTGGCTCTTTAATCATGGTGGTGGTATAAGCAGAGTATCCCCGAAGGACAAGGGCTACAAGGCATGACCTTGTACTCCTGTGCTTGCGTATAGCAGCATGTGGCTAATTGTGGGGTGGGAGGGTCTTAGAGCCTGGGCTCCAGCCCAAGCCCAGAGGTCTATATTGCAATTAAACAGCCCCACAGCCTGAGCCGAAGAGATCTGGCACAGGCCAGCCACGGGTGCCTAACTGCAGTTTAGACATACCCTTGGTGGCCAAGATGACCATACAGATGGTAATGGATGCTTCTGATGCCACAGCCACATCTGGATGCCAAATATTGGAGAGCAGCACTTCAATCTCTATTTGATACAGCTGAAACTACTCACTCCCACTGTCCAGGGAAGACACTGCTTGCCAGTCACCTTCAGTGGTATTCACACTGACCACATAGTGAAAGAAGAAAGAACAGTTACTTACCCTGCAGTAGTTGTCATTCTTTGACATGTTGTAGTCAGTGTGGATCTCACAACTCACTCTCTGCCCTGATTTTTAGAGTCCTCAACAGCAAAAGCTTTGAATTTCAAGTGAACTGAGGGAGGGTTGCTGCTGCTCCAGCCTTCGTGTCCTTTCATGGCACAGGACACACATGTAGACCTGATGGACACTGCTCTTCAAACTCCATTCCTCCCTCAACCCCTCTCCCCCTCCAAAAAAACCCCCACTCTGATCTTAAGCATGAGCACCTACGATGGGATCCATAGAGATTACATCTCAAAGAATCATGGTTACTATAGAGCAAGTAATCGTTCTTGTCATATCATACCAGTATTTACATATACATTTCACACATATAAGTAATAATTTTGCTTGATGATGTATTCTTCCATAAGGAGAAATACTGACAAAACATATTTAGCTTAAGTTTCGAAGCCATTTGTAGCAGTTTTGCCTAGTTTAATTTGTTAGCCTTTGCAGGCATTAGTAATTGCGGAATAGCTGGAGTGCTTTGAGTTAAATAAAATAGGACATTTTATTCAATACTTTTCTTCTTTTTTCATTCAGGTACTTTGATTCTGCAGAGTTGAGGAGCAGCACTTTTTCTAAATGGGATGACAATACAGATTCCTTTTGGAAGAAAGAGAGCAGTAACAGAGACACTGACACATTTCTAACTTCAAAAATTACAGACTATGCAGACAGGTATACAGAGATAACTTGTACTAACTTCAGTACAAAGAGTTAAACCTACTCAACTAATTTATGGGCGTAGTCCTGATGACTTAAATAGTACTGCCTGTGAGACTAAGACTATCAGGATTTGACCAAAACTTTGATTAGTAATGAGGCTTCCTTACATATGTAGCATGAGTTTCTTCTGTTTCCCTGTGTAACTTTTCGTCATTTATTACTGCTTATTACATGTTGACTATTTATTGAGTGTTCAGCATTGTACAAGACACAGTCATTCCCCAAAGGGTTTATAATCCAAAAGACATGCACAGAAAAGATGCAATGTAAGAGGAAGTAAACCTACATTGTTTCTATATTTTTAGTTATTCTGATTCTGCTCATTTTTCTTCTGTAGACCTTCTGCCTCATACTTTATTTAAGTTGGACGCTAAATGAATTAAATAGTGATGCACTTGGGACTAAAGTTTATTTAATATATTTACAAGTAACAGATTTGTTTTTTTTTAATTAGTCTAAAATAAGTATTTATTGTTTTCCACAGGGAAATATTTTCAGTTTTATAGTCAATGACAATTGTAGTCTGCAGCCTTCTTTTTCAGTTTTGATTTTAAGTTAATTTTGCACATATTCATTTATTGACACCATCCAACCTGCATACTAAATGAATATCCATTCTTAGAAAATAACAGCATGTGATTGTGTAACTAAGGACTGTAGCAAAATGCAATCTTAACATTGACGTTTCCTGACTTTAGAGTGTTTGTTTGTGAAACCTTGACATTCTTTTAATGTTATATTTTGTAGAGAATACGAATATATTTAGTTGCCAGTGAGATGTGGAAGGTAATGATGGTTCAAAGTTTATGAACTTCTGTACTACCACTAGGCTAAGCCTGCTGTAAACAGTCTCTCATTTTGAACATTATTTTTTACATGTTCACTTTGGGCAGAGTTTAACATAAATGTGGGTTACAAAGTAACTTTTGTAGAATTAATCTAATCCTTGTTGACACCAGTTTTGCTTGCTTTTGAATAAATCTCTCTTGAATTAGTTCTTCTAATTCAAACCAACAGAACTCGTTCAGTTCAAGTTATAGTCAAGTAGTATTTATCCATCTACCTATAAAATTATCACTGAAATATTATGTTTCTGCCACTATATCATTTTTTTAAAGAACAGTTCTGTATATTTCTTGTTGTCCTTGTTTCATATTGACTTGCATATAAAAAACTAGGTACATTTTTTGTTTTGGTTAAAAAGAGATAAGATTGCTTTCAGTTCAATCATGTTATACTGGATAGAATTTTTAAAAAATTGCATTAATGCTTTAGGCCTACATCTCGTCGTAAACCTGAATATGAGCCACCTTTAAGCACAGATGAGGCACAAAAAAAATTTGGCAATGTCAAAGCTATTTCATCAGATATGTATTTTGGAAAGCAAGACCATAGCGATGTAAGTACAAAAGTTTCTATGCAAAATAAACATCCTTTTGAATGCTCAAATATTCTGTGATGACTTTAGAAAATTGTGTTACAGTTACTAATAATGGGCAGGGTAGGTAGCTCGGATTGGCTAACGGTCAGAGAGTAGGTTGCCTTTGGGGAGTTTGCAGAGACACATGGATTTTTATCTGTGTTCTACAGGTAAAAAGTCTCTGTAGTCCCTTACCAGGCACCCGAGCAAACGACCAAGACATATCAATATACTGTTAGTGATGTTTTATTTTTAATTCTTTTCTAGTATGAAGCTAGGGCTCGTCTAGAGAGACTTTCTGCAAGTTCCTCCATAAGTTCAGCCGACTTGTTTGAAGAACAAAAGAAGCAACCAGCAGGTACTAAAGGAAGGCAATGAGAAAAACTAAAACTCCATTGTATAAATGTACTAAGAGTATTAGTTTCCAGTTGCACTGTATCAGAAATCTAGTTCTCCCAGTTCCCCACAAGATGACGTATATAAACTGCATTCTGTGCTTAGCACTTATTACAACAATTTTATGCCATGTGTCTATGCAAAAGATAGGCTACGACTTGTAAAGGAAAGTCTTTTATCAATGGGAGATGATAATCTGTACAAAATAAGATTAGGAAGTCAAGTGGTCCAGTATTTTCTGATATATCAGGTAGGTTTATATGGCACATAAGTCGTACTAAATAGATTTTAATCTTTACATTTGGTAAAAGTCATAAATGTAAAATCATTATTGAGGGAGTAAGTGACTCAGGAAGACCCAGAACACTTAGATAGAGTAGTTACTAGATTTGAAATTCTTCTTCCTTAAATGCCTTAGGGCATATGTGTGTTTAACAAATACTTACTACTAGGCAATATTACTTGCCTAATTGGGCTTCTGTGAAGAAAGCTGTGCAGAAGCCCAGTCTATATTATCTCAGCCCTGCCCCGCTTGCATTAGCAGGGTGCAATAGCAGGTGGGGTTTGTCATAGGTAGGGTTGGGGGAGAAGGAGAGAGGATAAAAGAGAAGGTATTGGATTGGCTGAAATTTAGGCTGGGACATAGTTGTAGCCTTAGTACGTTGTCATTCTAGTCCAGTTATTTATTTGACCAGTCAGTAGCATGGCATGAAGCTATAAAAGACAATGAGACATCAGAGCATTTTAGTGCTCTAATTAATTGGGTTTCAATTCTGTAGCCAGTGGGGAAAGGGAGGTAATTTAAAAAAAAATTGTTTGAAGAATAGTTAAAAATCTGTAAGTTATTATAAATATAGTCTAGAAAAGTGAAAGATACCCAACATCCCAATTTCACTTTAAAAAACAGCCACACAATTCAGTTTCAATATCTTAGTTAATTGTGGAAAATTTAAAAAAAAAAATCATTGTTTTCATTTTGTCTCCAGTGAAAACACATTTGATATTGCATTGGCCTCACTGAATAAGGTATGCACTGTTAATTTACTGGCTAATGCAGCAGTGTCACTTAGCACGAATTCTCAAATTGAATTTTAGTCAAAAGCACCTAAATTCAAGCAACTTGGAAGACTCTTGTTAGAAAGGATGCTACAGTGACTAACTTAGAACTGTGGCAGTTCACTAATATCCTCAGCATTGTGTGTGTGTGTGTGTGTGTATATATATATATATATATATATATATATATATATATATATATATATATATATATATAAATAAATAAATAAAGGGGGACACTAGTTTAAAAACCAATTGTTTTTTTCCTGAATTTTTAACCTACGTATTAGTGTTACAGTTTATATCTACAATTACTATAGCAATTGGAAGGGGAAATATTTTTTTTCAGTTTGTTTATTTTGTGCATTTAACCACACTTTTTGTGGAGACAATTTCATGTTTCCCCCTCTTGTCAGTTCTCCGTGTGGTTTATGTGAGGCTCTCATACAGCAATGGAGGGAGGGGATGGGAAGGAAATAGAAAAATATGATTGTAAAACAAGGATTGGGGGAGGTGTACTGTCTGAAACTACTTTTAACTTATATTTTAAAAATAGATTCAACTTCAGGTTGAAGCCATCCCTTTAAATATACTATCTTGTTTTAAAATGTCTTGTAGGTACCAATATTTGAGTACAGTACAAAGTATTACATCTCATGAAGACACTATAGCATATATGTGCTGTGAGTGCATTCATTACTGACTACTTGAAAAATCCATATGGTTTATGGTGTTCAAGGAAGTGCATCAAATAAAGATAGAATTTTGTTGCCAAAGATGAGAGACTTTTACAAACTTTTTCTGGCTGGTATCACTAAGAAAATAATAAAGGGAGGAAGATACTGTAACAAGGTAGTAGCTTTGCCTCTGCCCACAGTGGATCCCCTGCCATGCCACAGTCTCTGAGGCAGCTTTATTGTGACAACAGAACAGTTCCTCTACCCACCCTGGGTTACAGTTCCTGGGGAATTTTCCCCTTTTCCTTTCAGGTGCCCACTGCCTTCCCTCCCAAAGGACACTGGCAGTTCTGCTGTGCCCGATTACTGATTCTGTGTCCTGTTTCCTGAACACTGCCATCCAGGCTTTTCTCCCTGGAGGCCCCTTTTCAGAACAGTTCCTCTCAGGTTCCCACTTCCTCCCCTCCCAGGGGACTCTGGCAGTCCTAGCTCTCCAGGGGTCCCTATTCCCATGGAGCAGGCAGTGTGAGAGCCCCATGTCTGTGCTCTCTGCCTCTTTCCTGACTGGCATTCAGCCTGACTCACACAGACTCCCTTTCAAAGGGGTCTCTCCTTCTCTCTAGTCCCAGGTGCTCTCTTTTAAAGCTCATTTGGGTCAGCAGATGAGGCAGAGTGCACTGGCCCTGCACCCTCTTAAAGGGCCAGTATCACCCTGTGGTATACTGTAGTGATTTATACTGCCATTTTTAATTCACACAGTAGTCAGTCTGTTACACACACACACATCCTTCAGCTATGGTGGAGAGGTAGTGTCCTTATCTTTTGAAAATTGCCTAACTTTGAGAAGCACACAGACAGTGATTCTCTATAAAATGAAGGTTTCATGAACAGCACTTAAGGTTTATCGTAAAACACTTCCAAAGTGTTTGTTCTTGTAAAAACTCTCAGGTTAAATGTCTGCATCTTTTAAAAAACCAAAAAACAAATACAAAAATAAGAGCTAGGAAAGGCTACAAAAACAGCCTCTAGTGTAATTAATTTCAAGGTTATTGATTGTCAATAGCACTAACTGGTCAAGTTTTACTGACAAAAATGCAAGATGCTTCCCAGAAAGCCATGAGAAAAATTAAGTTGCTTAAAATATTAATTTACATTATATCTGAATTATTTATATTTGTTCTTTGGGATTTTCATTTTTATTAATTTGGTTTTCAAAATTAGAAGACCAAAGGATATCTGAAGTGACAAAGTTCATAAGAAAGTAAAAATTGCAGTTCAGAAACTTGGTTGTGTCTTTGCTACTGTTGTTTCAGATGGGTCTCACAGGTATAAGTGAAACTTGAATCCATATCACAATGTTGATTTGACTAAAGAATCTGTGGAACTCAGGTCTGGTGATACCACTGTAGAAATAGCCAATACTGACCTTAAGGGCAGTGCAGAAAACGTATTATTGAAAATGACTTTGCATCTTTCACTGCAAATAAGTTCTGCTATCCTGAACAGTTTTTAATATTAAATACCAACTTGCATCACTAGTGTCTTAGAAATTATGGGTGGGAAGGTACCAATTCAAATTATGGCTGGTCACTAAAACAGCCATGTTGTAGACTTGCCATTAGAGATGACAAAGGTGTAGTTTTAATAGAAAGTTTGGCATCTTTTGCCTTTTAAGAGTCTAAAATAGTGACAAATTCTTGCTGGAAAAAAAAGGAGCAAGAATTTTTGCAAGTGGTCAAAATAGTTGTTTTGATTGTGGTTGTAGGAAAAAAGCTCTTCTCTTAAGGAAAGAATATAAAAAATTGGAGGGACGATATCTGACCACATTACCCGTAATGGTCTGAAAGTTTCTCTTATAGGACTGCACCTTTTCCCTTATTGCCCACAAGGTATTATTTCACTGTAGTGGAAAAGTGAGAAAAGAGTATGTTTTGCAGCCATAGGAAAAAGATAAGGAATGATTATGAGGCATGATCCACAGATCAAGGAAATTTAAAATTGCACTTTGGCATATAACTTAATGTGCATTTACCTTATTTTACCTTAAAAAGCAACAGAGAGTCCTGTGGCACCTTTAAGACTAACAGATGTATTGGAGCATAAGCTTTTGTGGGTGAATGCCCACTTGCTCCAATACATCCGTTAGTCTTAAAGGTGCCACAGGACTCTCTAGACTAACACGGCTACCCCTCTGATACTTATTTACCTTATAAGTTACATGCCACAGTAGCAAGCAGCTTTTTTTTGTATTTTGAGCCATGATAGTGTATTGTGAAGCACATAACTGAAGTACCATAAAAATATTTTTAAAAGCTCAATTTGAGTTTGATATTATGCACTGAATTTACAGATTGTTCAAAAATTTTATGGGTGTTCGCCCTCAGTGTTTCTAAAGTATGTTTCTGCCACTGTTTGTTTAATCACTAGGATTCTCCGTGTGACCTTTTGTAACACTATGGGCCTGACCATTAGGTTTTCTATACCAGCATCAACCCATTAATTTCTGATTGAGCTACCTGATTGTCTTGTCCCTATAACTTCTAACCTTTCCTATAAAAGGAACAGTTGTAGAAAAATTATGCCTTCTGAAGAAGCAGAGTTCAGCTCTTTGTATTGAGCACCATATGGAGCTGCCAACATCTAGAAAAGTCTTGTAATGGATGTCACATTCTGAGGTGCAGTCCAGACCAATGAAGAATTGTCACATCTTACCATGTAACCCCGAGTGCCTCACAATGCCTTGCTACTGTGGTTTTCTGCCTGGGACACTCACAGTCAGCAACAAGTATGCACTCTGTCTATGTATTGGGCAACCCTGGTCCAATACTTTGGATCCTGGAGCCTGCCCACAATGTCACAGACTTCCACTGGTCTCCACCAGTCTTGGTTAACAACTGGTAAGGAAACTCCACACTCTCCCCAGCCCCAATTTTACCCCAAAATGTGTGTTCTGAAACGTCCAACCTGACCTTGGAACAATCAGAGGAATGTTAAGGTCCATTGCTCCTTTAAAGAGTCAGTATTCAAGAGTTTGTTACTTTAACTGGAGTTAACAAAGAGTTGAGTTTAAACACAGCACTGGACTGGTTGACATTAAAAATAAAACAAGTTTAGTTACAGTGTTAGATCTTAAGTGAGTATAAGAATTAAAGTAAGAAATGGTTACAAGAGAAATAAAGATAAAATGCTTTCTAGTAACTACAATTTAAGCTAAAATAGGTACAAGGTA